AAGCACGAGGCCTAGGACCAGCCTAGAGACAGAACATGAAGGTGTGAGGCCTAGGACCAGCCTACAAACAGAATGTGAAGGCACGAGGCCTAGGACCAGCCTAGAGAGAACGTGAAGCACGAGGCCTAGGACCAGCCTAGAGAGAATGTGAAGCACAAGGCCTAGGACCAGCCTACAGACAGAATATGAAGGCACAAGGTAGGACCAGCCTGCAGACAGAATATGAAGGCACAAGGTAGGACCAGCCTGCAGACAGAATGTGAAGGCACAAGGCCTAGGACCAGCCTACAGACAGAATATGAAGGCACGAGGTAGGACCAGCCTGCAGACAGAATATGAAGGCACAAGGTAGGACCAGCCTGCAGACAGAATGTGAAGGCACAAGGCCTAGGACCAGCCTACAGACAGAATGTGAAGCACAAGGCCTAGGACCAGGCTCAAGGAACCTCAAACACATAAATAGATTTTGAATGCAAGATTCTTTTTTTTTTTGTCAGTAATGGGACTTGAACTCTGTCTGGGCCTGGGCACTGTTCCTGCACTCTTCAGCTCAAGGCAAGCGCTCTACCACTTGAGCCACAGCACCACTTCCGGTTTTCTAGTGGTTTATTGGACATAAGAGTCTCACGGATGTTCCTGCCCAGGCTAGCTTTGAACCTCGGTCCTCAGATCTCAGCCTCCTGAGCAGCTAGGATTATAGGCATGAGCCACTGGCGCCCGGCTTTGAATGCAAGATTCTTAGCAAGGACTTGGTCCTGGACGTGGGGCACACAGATGTAGTCCCAGCTACTTGGAAAGCAGGAACATCATGAGCTTGTGGCCAGTTCCAGACAAGGTTAGGAGAACAACCCACCGGTGCTAACCAAAGCCCAACCTCAAAAGAACAAAAACAGAAGGGCTGGGTTGTATCTCAGGTGATAGTGTGGCTATGTACATGTGGCCATTTTCCCCCTTAAGAAGTCTGTATAAATTTAACTGCTTACTGGGACCTAAACCACCAGCTTTGTATAAATTTTGAAACAGCACTTCAGCTGGGTATGCTGGTCTACACCTAGCACGCAGGCAGCTGCAGCCAGACTATGAACTCAAGGCCACCATGGGCTTCACAGCAAGACCCCAGCTTAAAAACAAACAAAAAAACCCAACCAAACTATATCAAAAAGAAATAGCATTTCATGGACTACACATATTACTTCTTTAAATATTTTCCTGTTCCTATACTGATAGCTTCCTAGGATGACAAAACGGCACCTGTGAATTTGCCCTGGTAAGTCTGATCTAAGAGTTTAGTAATATTCTAGTAATTATATCCCAGAACAGTAACAGCCTCTTCCACCTGGAGCCTGAGCACATGGCACCCTTACCCACTGAGAACGTGAATGCGCTCTGTGTTGTACTTCAGGGGCGTCAGCTCGCAGCGCAGAACCTGAAGTGCCTCCAGCACCTTGCCGTCCTCCAGATATTCCAGGTACTTCTGCTGCAGCAGCAGAAACTTCATCCTCTGACATGACAGAAAGTAGCAGTCAGGGGAAAAAGTTGATGGAAGTTTCAGAAAATGTTTGTGCCTAAACAGAACAGTAGAAACCATTCTACTATACCCTTTGAAAGTAATTATATAAAGCTTCAAAATATTCTGGTTTAAGTCATAGTAGGCAAAATGATTCTGCTCAATTCTACACCTTAATAAAAAACAACAACAACAACAACAAACAAACCCTGCTTTGAATGAATAATCAGTCTCAAACAGGATCATTAGTGATGGAAGCATCAACATGATTATTTGCCAGAATTCTGTTTCTTGTATGAAATCACAAGTATTTTAAATGTGCTTTAAACATCTGACTTATTAGGGCATTGAGTGGATTTACGCAACAAGTTTTTAAAAGATTAGAGAAAAATCAGTGAATGGGTAGATTATTTAAAAACTACCACATATATGCTATGAGTATATGGGAAAGTCCTTGCCTAGCATGTTGGTTCTGAGTTTGATCCCCAACACTGCAAAAATTATCATAACCAAAAAAACCCAAAAAGCCACACACAAAAGATGGACTAAACCCAGGTGTTGGTGGCTTGCTCCTGTAACCTAGCTACTAAGGAGGCTAAAAATCTAAGGATCGAGGTTTGAAGCTAGCCTGGGAAGGAAAAGCTGACACGTCCTGGAAGTGGAACTGTGGCTCAAAGTGGCAGAGTGCTAGCCTTGAGTTAAAGAGCTCAGAGACAACACCCAAGCCCTGAGTTCATGCCCATGACTGACAAAAAAAAAAACCCACAAAATTAGAAACACTGGGTAAAAAAATAAGTGCAGATTTTGCCTATCAAAATTAAGAGCTCTGTAACAATACTAGAAGCATGATCTCATTCTCGTCTAGTAAGAGACTAAGTGATGTCTACAGGAGAAGGATGAATGTAAAGGTCTTTAAGAAAAGTCAATATTTGTGTATTTATAATAATGTGATCACTGATGCATTTAACAATGAAGCACAATTATTATAAGCTCTTTTTCCCCTAAAGGATAAATCACTTTTTCAGCTAACAATGAGGCACTGTCTCATTTAATGTTTTTCTGAAATCACTTTTATTTCTATTGTTTTTAATATTATTTCACCATTTTACTTTTAACTTGTAAGTGATCATTACAATTTTAGCAGCTTTTTAACTAAATGAGAGACATTTATGAAAATTCACCTCTGGAATTTTACACTTTAAACTTAATTAAGGACCACAGCCTGAAATAACTCTTTCATTGTATGTACTACTTGTGGTGCTTGAGGAAACCAAATGACAGTAGAAAATAAGACAGTAAAGACTCCAAGAAATACAGTAAAAACCTAAATGGCAACCCTTTCTGGTGCTGCCACAAAATGGTATAGAGAAATTACCATATATTCCCAGAACTAAGAGAACAATGGATGTCAGCCAAGCAGAAGCCAGAAAGCATAAAATACACGCTTATAAAAATTAGACCTAGGCAAAGTAAATATAAGCCCTCACAGACAAACATCCAAATATATCATCATTTCTTTATAAAATACACTGCTTAGGCTTAATAACTTTAAAATTATAGGAAAAAAATCATAACAGACAAGCTTCTATAGCTCTAGTAAAATTACACAGTTAGACTGATCAATCAATGTTTCACAAAGACTAAACACTGAGATGCTTTAAAAAATGTTGTATAGGTTCCTAAAATTCATGTGCCAAATTAAAAAATATCCTTTAAGGCTCATCAGGTGACAAAAATGAAAAAAAAAAGGAGAAATTTATATTTGAAGTTCTCTCTGATATCACCTTTTATTTTTATTTTTTATGCTGGTCCTGGGGCTTGAACTCAAAGCCTGGACACTGTCGTTGAGATTTTGTGCTCAAGGCTAGAGCTTTGCCACTTGAGTCACAGCTCCACTTTGGCTGAAGTTATAGTCTCAAAGACTTCCTGCCTGAACTGCCAGATCTTAGCCTCCTGAGTAGCTAGTATTATAGGCATGAGCCAGATATTCTTAATATTTTGCTTTCTTTATAAACTCTTTATAAACCAAGGAGCTCAATCAAATCAATTCCCATACTGCTCAAAGATTTAACTTAGGTATCTGTGATTTAAACTTGAGAATCGCATGTAGTTATAGAATCTTATTGCCAACATGTGGTTTAATTTCTTACCATCTGGGAATTGGGAGGGAGTTCTTAACAACTGAGAAACTTTTTGCTTTAAATTCAGTATTTCTTGTTCATTTATTACCGAGCATGAAGATCTGAGTCCACTCTCCCCTCGAATCCAGTGTATGGGCATGGTACAACTGCTATTTCTCCCTTATTTTCCCACCAAGATCTTGACCAAACATACTATTCTCACTCTACAGGGAAGAGGTGGGGTTGGAGAGAGGAGGAAGACTAAACTTTGAGAGAAGCCAATATAAACCATGTATTCCTGTATTTACACAGAGAATGCTGTAAAAAGCAGTGCAAGAGGCTTTCTCTATGAGCCATTTTATCCAGATGAAGACAAAGAGCACCCTCAAGTAAATATCAAGTCTTGGTTCGGTGCATGGCAACTAACATGCTCCAGTGACCAGAGCAAGAAATCTGCTTCAGAGAAAAATGTGTATTCTCTTAAAAACCAGTTGAACCCAAGTAATTTGATTCATATATGAGAAGTAAAACTGTTTTTACCTCCTCAAATTTAGAGCACAAAAACGTAAATACACTCTCAAGAAAATAAAGACCTTTTATAATTTACAAATGATGTTAATAAAGTTTTTTAGAATCAGGTAAGACTGAAGTTTGCTCATACAGAGTCTGAGCTCTAAATATTATTTTCTATAAAGGATCATGGACTTGGGGCTGGGAAGGTAGCTCAGTGGTAGAGCGCTTGCCTTGCATGCCTGAGGCCCTGGGTTCGATTCCTCAGCACCACATAAGCAAAAAGAAAAAAGCCGGAAGTGGCGCTGGCTCAAGTGGTAGAGCGCTAGCCTTGAGCTGAAGAGCTGGGGGACAGCCAGCGCCCAGGCCCAGAGTTCAGACCCCATGACTGGACCCCAAAAAAAAAAAAGATCATGGACTTCTAAAAGAAAGGAGAAAAGAAGGAAAGAAGAAAAAATAAAACTATATTCTTTCAATTTCTAATTAAGACTTCTACAAGGTTATTTCTGGTCTGATGACTTGGGCTCAGTACTATTTCTTTCTTTTAACATCTAATAAAAACCTACCATTGGGGCCGGGCAACATCTAATAAAAACCTACCATTGGAGCTAGGCGCAGGTAGCTCACACCTTTAATCCTAGCTACTCAGGAGGCTGAGATCGGAGGATCTCGGTTCAAAGCCAGCCCTGGCAGTAAAGTCCGTGAGACTCTTATCTCCAATAAGAACCACTAGAAAACCGGAAGTGGTGCTATGGCTCAAGCAATAGGGCGCTCTCTTTGAGCTGAAGGGTACAGGGACAGGGCCCAAGCCCAGAGTTCAAGCCCCAGGACCGACCAAAAAAAAATAAAAAATAAAAAAATAAAAAACCTACAATTGGGCTAGGAAGGTGGCTCAGTGGTAGAGTGCTTGCCTAGCATGCATGGGGCCCTGGGTTCGATTATTCAGCACCACATAAGCAAATAAAGCCGAAAATGGTGTTGTGACTCAAGTGGTAGAGCTTGAGCTGAGAGGTAAGGGACAGTGCCCAGGTCCAGAGTTCAGGCCCCATGACCACCACCACCAACAACAACATCAACAAAAAACCTCCAATTGTGGGGCACCAGTGGTTCATGCCAGTAATCCTAGCTACTCAGGAAGCGGAGATCTGAGGATCATGGTTCAAAGACAGCCTAGGCAGAAAAGTCCATTGAGACTCCTATCTCCAATCAATCACCAGAAAACCAGAAGTGGCCCTGTGGCTGAAAGTGGGCGAGTTAGCCATGAGTAAAAGAAGGTCAGGGACAGTGCCCCAGGCCTTGAGTTCAAACCCCAGGACTGGGGGGAAAAAAATGAGGAGCAATTTCAAAAATGCCAAATGGAATCTTTAAAGAACAATCGATTGATCAATTCTTAAAGTGAGAAAACAGCTGGAACCCCTTTCTTAGTATAAATACCTAAACAGTTTGATGGTATGAGGATCAGAGATTTCCTCTAATGTCCTATGGTACTGAACAGGCTGAAAAAAGAAAGTATTCCTCCTCATTGTCTACAGCTATCTCTTTGCCAGTTTACTTGCTGTTCCTACAGGTTTCTAATGAGTCACAATCCAAATCCAACACAGAAATCTTAAATTACTCTTAAAAATAGAAAACAAATGTATTAACATTTTTTACTACTAAGTTATAGACATAATTTGAGTACAGCATAAAAAAGAAAACAACCTCTAAGAAACCATATATACACTTACTAAAAAAAGAGAAAAAAACCTAACTCCACAGACAAGTCCTTTGTAGTCACTGCATAGTATTGTAACCCGTCCACTGTAAGAGTCTCCTGTTTTATAGTCTGTATTTTCAATCATTCAGTCAGAACCAAAGATTTGTGAAAAACTGCCCAACTAAAATCTACTATGTACTTAGGTTTTAAACTCCAAACACCTTTACTGGGAAAACAGAAAAAAAAAAGGAATCCTCCAAATACAGATGTTTAGCTACTTCAATTCATTTTGTTGTTAAATTCCACTATGAATTTAATAATCTCACAAGTTAATTTAAATAAATGAATCTATGTTCATACTTGTTTAAGCCTTTTATAATAATTATATTACTATACAAATTGTACTAAGAATTTGAAAAGTTTTTTTTTTACAAATAATGAAATTAAAAAACAAAAAAAAAACCCTGCAGACTCCAACGTTTATGGACAAAGACAGAAAAGTTTAATGTCTGATCGAATTTAAAAAAAATTGTTCAGTCATTTACTAATATTTAACAAACAGCAGGTTTCCCTACTTCACTTCCTATTTGCCTTCTTTCCCTCCCCCACTGACAGGAAACTGCTTTTGACAACAAATGAATCAGCTAGAAGTTTAAAGGCCAGCAGCCACCAGTGAGCAGATGATTCTTCCCAGTTTCCAACCCCCAGCACTTAAAATATCTCCCCCCTTCCTTTTCCTCACCAATATTTACTGAAGAATTAAAAATCCATCTGTATAAGAGATGTGTTAAGGTTTATGCAAAAGACTAGCAGGTTAAACTATACTTGTCTCGGAAATGAGGCCAGCCAAGGAGGCCTAGTGGTGGAATCTGCACACAGTCTGCCTGACACTCAGTTTACCCAACTTGGAAAAGTAGTGAGCACACCAATAGTATTGTTTTAAATCAACTACAATTCCCATAGTACCGTCTTAAGTTGACAATAGCTCCCAAAGACTTCCTCAAAGCAGTATCTAATAGCTTCTTAAAGCTGTGCTGTATATACATCCATTTTCTCTTTTATTATCAGTATATTCCGTATTTAAAATATGCCCTTGACTCTATCAAGAGCCTATCAGCCCTTTCATGAAAAGCATGGTGAGCTTTCAATAGAAATTCTATGGAGCTCAAATTGTAAACAGGGCTTATTTGATAAGTATGAACTAAAAAATACAAAACACATTTTCAAACACAAAGCAATCCATCCTAGTTTACAGATCAGATAGGAGACTTAGTCATTTTAAAAGTCTGCTCTCAGTTACTAACAGCCTACTAAAATAGACATAAATGTGAAACTAAGAACAAAAGTGTATTTACCACAATTATTCCCAACAACGTTTGAGAGATTTCAAGCGCGCCTCTTACCACAATCGCATGAGGAGAATGCACTAAAGGCTTTAGCTCATTCAGGTCATTTTCTGCCTGCAGAAATCGTGTGGAAGAAAAACAGACACGTCACCAGGCGCCGGTCCCGCGCCGGTCCGGCCGGGCGGGACGGGCGGCGGGCGGCGGGCGCCCCTCCTTTACCTTATCCCAGTCTCCTTCCATGACATGATTGCGGAATTTGGTGGCAGAGGGATGTTCTAAGCGACATCCTGACTCTTGCATGAGGAGGTCCACAGTCTGGCTGCGGGAGAGACACAGTGTGAACGGCCCGGCCGGGCCTCCGCGAGCTGGGGCCTGGCGGCCA